ATCCCTGGAGTCACATTTTTAAATTAATTGGAGCTATTTTGAAATAACATACCTTTTTTACATAAGAATCTTACAATAATATGTTGCCAATTCTCCCCTTCCACTCTTGTGATAGTTACATATTTTACTTTTTCATGTAAACATACATTTTCACTGTTTTTGCCCATTTACCATTTAGAGTAATCTAAAAAATGAGACAAGAATGTTTTGCCTTCAGTTAGTCTATTTCAACCATGTTTATTCACTACCATATTCATTACTTTGTGTGGAAACAGGTTTCTGATGGTTGCCATATTCCTTGTGCCCAAAGAACTTTTTAAATTTCTTGTAGAGGTTGCTGGCAGTGAAGTTTTGGGTGCCTCCTTTATATCTTTGTGAGGTACCTGCTTCTGAGACGACAGCATTTCCCTTTGGGATATTAAAGACATTACTCACTGTCTTCTTGCTCTCAGGGCATCTGGCCACTGCATTCTCAGCATTGCCATCCTTTGGTTAGTTCTCTTTCTGAGCAGTGTGAGCATGACACATTTGGATGTGGAACTTTGGTCCCTTTGTATGCTTACCCTGCCAGATGTCCTGAGCTCCCTGGATGTTTTTTGTTTCTGTCATGAATTTTGACATTTCTCTTGCTCTTCAGACATTTCTGTACTGTCTCTTCTCCCTTGATTATACACACAAAAGACCATTGGACATTGCCCCTCAGTTCATGGGTGCTCTATTGGGCTTCCTGCTGTCCTCTTTGTATTTTAGTTTGGGTGAATTCTGCCCTTAAACACTTGTTTCTGGAAGACTGGGCCCAGTGTGGGGAGGATAGGGTGCTAGAAACTTTGAGGTACAAGGTCACTGGATCATGGGCCCTGCCCCTCATGATGGGCTTAGTAATGTCTCCCCAGAATGGAAAGACCATCATCCTATGACACCTGGATCTTATGATGAGAATGGGTGGTTATAGAGTGCAGCCACACCACTTTGGATGCTTTTGCACATAGCTGTTGCCCTTCCCCCTTCACCATGTCGGGACCCAGCCAGGGGCTCTTGCTGGATATGGCTCCAGGTGGTTTCAACACTCCAGCCACCAGAATCATGAGTCAAATCAACCTCTTGGCTTTATAAAGTACTCACATCAGGCATTTTGTTACAGCAGAACAAAATGGACTAAGCTACTGTGGTAAGTTCTTTTAATGATTGAGTGAGCACAGCTTTTTACCATGTTACTAATATGGGTATTTGTGTTATCTCAGTCAGGAATTGGGTTTGGTGAGTATTTGTTGTTGCTGAAGTAATCCTCTGTGCACAAGAGGCTCCAGGCTCTACGTGTGATACCCTGAGCTAGGAATGAGGGCTGCTTTGCCACTTTTTTCTGTTTGTTCTTTCCCTGGGCACTCCATTCCTGAGAGAATCCTTTTGCACCAATCACAATTGTACTCAACTTGTTTTCACTTGAAATTTGTTAGCCTGGTGACAGGAAACAGAACCAGGAACCCTCCCTGCTTCTGGTCAGGCCTCTTTCTCAGGCAAGCAGAGAAGTGTGGACTTCCCAGTGCTCCCATTTAAGCTCAGGAGACTTTAGGAGCTGAGTCTAGCATGTATTCCTGCTACTTTGCCTTTTTTTTTAATTAAAAAAAATTTTTTTGGACAGTCTTTCTATGTAATCCAGGTTAATTCCCTTTTCTCCCTCTATCCCTAGAACCTCCCCAATCTGCAAACCTGTTTTCTGTGATCAACCCACTATGCTTTAGATCTGGAAGGTCCCAAAGTCTCAAAGATAGGGCTTTTGCAGGGTGATTCAATCATGGGGTCACTGTCCTAAGGCCTGTTTTTGTTGCTTTCCTCTCATCACAAAGATTCAGTTTTTTCCAAAGGGAAGATAGGTGATGTATGTGGATGGAATTTGAGGCTGCTCTTCCATCAGTCACCATGGCATGTGGCCTTCTCACGATTCTCCCATCTGTTCGGTGGTTACTTGGTGCAGGTCACCAGTTTTTAAAAACCCTCAGCAACCATAGTTTCAATGGTTTCACGTTTCATTTTTAGCTCCATTCTCTCTATGCTTTCCTTCTGGAACTCTAATTTGACATGTTGTCTTAGTTCATTTGGGTTGTTATGACAAAATTCCCTAATCTATGTGGTTTATAGTCAATGAAATTTATTTCTGATAGCTTCAGAGGTTGGAAATTGGAGGTGACGGCAGGCTTGCTGTCTGGAGAGGGCCTTTAGCTCACAGGTGGAGACTTCTCCTTGTGTCCTCCTATAGTAGAAGGGGCAAGGAGCTCTCCAAGAACCTCTAAAAGTAATGACCCAATCCCCAAGGGCCCTTCCTTTCAAAGGCCCCACCTCCAAACACTGTAATACTGGGACTAAGGCTCAACACAGGAATTTTATGGGGACACAAACATTCAATCTGCAGCTTGTGTTTCATAGTCGCATCTTAGCTTCCTACTTACTAAACTTCACACTCACTTTCCTTGGATAGTTTCCTCTTTGTGCTATATCCTGGGTAATCTTGTTATGCCTTTAATTCCACATTCACTCAACTGTCTCATCGTGTAACACTTCCTTTGGGTTTTATTTGAACAATTACATTTTAAAAGCAACATTCTATTTGGTTTTTATTCTTTTATAGTGTTTTTTAAATTGTGAAGCAATAAAAACATCTAGAAAAGTTTAACATTGAGTAAACTTTTGAAGCCATCAGAGCATCCCTTGCCATCCCAAGCAGTTTGGTGTATATTTCTGTTGTACCCAGATTGAGATATCCCCAAAGACCACCAAGGAGTCAAGTCCGATGTAATTACATGAGGAGTTTATTGCAGGCTCCAGCCCGGCAAACTTGAGCCTGGACCTCCAGTGGCACTGTCACAGCGGCTTCTAACTGAAGGCCCCGACCCATTTTCAAGTCATGCTTATATAGGGCTGAGGATTGATACTATTTTTAACTTTCCATTACTAAGAGTTATTATTGGGACACTTAGGGGAAATACCTCATTCTCACTGAATGAGGGGAATTATACTCATGAGGAGCTCAGTGGGGGGTACTCTTTCTATTTTTAAGGAACACTTCATGTGATTACACAATTAGGCAATCTCTCTATACTTAGCAAAGCCTATAATATCTCTAACTTATTCATTACTAGGCAACTATTGGGGTGGGGATAAATTCACTCTTGGGTCAGAAGAGGAACAGAAAAACAGGGAGGAGGTTGTTATAGCCCTTTGCCCACAAAACTTGGTCTTTATATTCTGAGCAAAGGTCAAAGAGGGAGACCACCTCGATCAGAAAACCTGGTTCCTACAATTTCCTGCAAAATCTTTTTTCTTGCCACTTATAATAGTCAAAATCAGGAAATAAGCTGTCACATTTCTTCCAGCCAATCTTCAGACTCTACCCAATTTCCCAAATCATCTCTCTACCCTTCCGTAACTTGTTGAGAGCCCTCCTGAACTTGCCTATCACCACTCTTCCTTCTTTGGTGTGGAACTTGGCCTCAGTCTTCCCTTGACATTCACTACTTTGACACTTTTGAAGATGTCAAGCCAGTTACATATGCAATATCCCTCCATCTGTTTGTCCTGTTTCTCCAGGATTAGAGAATTGATGCTGTTCTCTTTGTTCCATTCAGCTGGGTGGCAGGCAATTTTGATTCATCCCATTACTAAAAACATTTAACTTTGATCAGTTAAGGTGGTTTTTTTTACAGGTTTTTCACAGGAAATTATTCCTTTCCACTATGTGATTAGTAATTTTTCCCTTCACAAGGAGGAACTCACTGCTTCAATTTCTTTGCTTATACACAATTTATTTCTATTTGTGTAGACACATGGTTTGTTTCATTGTGTGTGTTAACCTATTCTTACCCTTATTTGATGCTCAAATTTCTGAACTAGTCAGTGGAAGCCTATTGAATCTCACTTTTGTGTCCTTTTCACATAACTCATCACTACTTGAGTGCCTCATTTTTAAAAGGTAAACATGTTCTAGGTGTATCTTGTACTTTCCATCCCATGACCTTGAAATCAGTTATCTTTCCCAGGTCTGCAGGGCCTGGTTTGAGCAGAGTATTAGAAGTCAAGATTTGGGAGCTAGGTGTGCTCAGCGTTCCTGGGCTCTCCAGACTCTCCCTAGTGGGCAAATGTAGGACTAGGACACACACACACACACACACACACACACACACTCACAGATTTACACAACTCACCACTGTCTAGGCAGGCAAGGTGCTCTAAAGATGTGAGTTGAGGGCAAGGGAGCCTCTCTGGTTTAGAAGCTTCTGACTCATGAGAATCAGGATTTTTCCTGCCCATTTCTAAGTCCCTCTTTTAGATTCCCACATTCAGTTAAGAATAACCTACTAAGGTGAGTCCAAAGTCCTGCCAGGTGTCTGAGGGTTAGTCTGTTCCAGCAGAAATACTGTACCAGTCAAAGCTCATGCTGCTGTTTACACCACAGATAACATTTCATCATCATGGGTTTTAGGGCAAATTGGAAAGTTAATCTGAAGTGAAATTTGTCTGGAGATAAGGAAAAGGAGGTGGTTAAACTTTCATTTGGAGTTAACTTATCCAGATGTTCAAATACTAGGGGGTTTTGCTTAAAAGCTTTTCCGATAGTTGATTAAGCAAAGTTTAGACTCTTGGCTTACAGAAATTCAGCGATGGATGGTGAATAACTCAGATGCCTTTCCTGAGGTGTAACATGGCTATAAGCTATTTATGAAAGGCCATGAGGAGCTCAGGTCATTTAAATGTGATTGCTCATGTGCTGAGGCAAACCCAATTATTCTACCAAGTTGCCTATAGAGCCTATTTATATTGGGCAGTGGTTTCATGAGGTAGTAGAAAAAAGTTGTTTTTATAAATTTGCTTTTTGCTTTTTATTTTCAAGTGATTATTTACAATATTCCATGTTTTATGATGAGAAACTTAAACCATCCAACAGCTGGAAGAGCTGTACAGTAAACATTTAGCCATCAACCTCCCAAGAATCCCGATTACCCCCTTCCATGTGCACACCTCTACACACGCCCAGGTCTGCGGCCGGCATAGTGGGCAACGTCACCAAGCGGTTGGACCAGCAGTTCCGGCCTCCAGGCACTCACCTGGACACTTCTGTCTCTGCATTCTTCGGTGCACAAACCTCACCGGATCACTTTTGGCCTTAAAACCTCCCGAGGCTCCTGAGATTTCAGTGTCCCACCAGGAAGGACTCGAACTGGCTCGCTTCCCGTCCCGTGGGGCCCCCGTAACCACCCGCCGCGAGCAGGCCGCACCCTCACCACAGCCAGCTCGGATGCCTTCCTTCCCGTACCGCTGTCTCTTCCTCGCGCCCTCAGAATAACTCTTCCCGACCTCCGCAGGTAGCCAGGTCAAATTGAGACCGTTACCGCCCGCGGTGAAACGCCGTCCCCTTCGGGCGGCCATCCGACCGCCGCAAAGCGCCGCTGTGCCCACTGCAGTAAAGCGCTATCACGACAGCGCCGCGTTCGGTCTACTAGACGCTGACGCCTGCGCCCCCGCTTTCAACCTTCGGATTTCCGGACCGCCCCGAGCCTGCAGCCGCGAGCCAGTTTTCTCTGCGCGCGAAGCTGGACTCTCGGATCAGCCGGAGCTGCAGCCGCCTCGCGACCCCGCCCGCGCGCCCTTCCT